GCCCACCTCCCCCACCCTCACTGCTACTATCACTACTTTAATTCAGATTCTCACCATTTCTTCCTTGGACTATTAGACCAGCAGTTCTCAATCTATGGGCCGCGACTCCTTTGGGGATCAAAAAACCCTTTCACAGGGGTCACCCAATTTATAACAGCAGCAGAATTACAGTTATGAAGTAACAACGAAAATAATGTTATGGTTGGGGGTCACCAAAACATGAGGAACTGTATTAAAGGGTCGCAGCATTAGGAAGGTTGCAAACCACTGCATTAGACCGATCTCTAAACAAAGCTTCCTGCCAGTGTGAAAATGAAAGCTTTTAATTTGAAAGTTGGCCTGTCATGGTTCCTGTCTACCTTTGCTGGCGTCTTCTCTCCTCACCATCCCTGCTCTCCTTCTAGTCTTACATGACTAACAGGAGGTCCTAGAAGTGAATAAATAAGTAATCCAGAAGTGAATGAATAAGCAATCCAGCCTTAGTGTATCTTAGTGCCCTGTCTCCTCATTCAAAGTCCAGCCCCTGTTCTTTTTTTCTATATCCTTCTTCTAAGATCCACGATCTGCCTGCTCACTCCCATTAGAACAGCAACCAAGAGAACAGGGAAGGTGATAAAATTATAGCAGCGGTAGAAGACTTCCTGAAAGACCAGGAAGGAAAGAGATCTATATAAAAAGAAGACTTCAACCGCTGTTTCAGAACTGAAGAACGTCTTTTAGATATGTACAATAAGGAAAAAGACCCAAGCGCTAACGATGGCGATACTTGTGCTCCCTCTGACCGTCATTCTGTTGTACAGAAAAAGACGTGACTCCTGCTCCCTGAGAGAACAATCAGCGGAGAGGGGAAAAACAAGCACACACACCAAATCAGGACCCAGGCCTGCGCCATTCAGGACATTGATGGCCAAAACTGTGCAAGAGTTTCTTGGAGGGAAAAAAGTAATAACTATATCGTCTTCTGGCCCCAGGGCCTCCTTCCCATGCCTAAAAACTATAGGAAGGCACAGGAATGAATTTCATCTGATCACCTCTGTCAATACGACATCGAGAAAGCAACCCTGACAGTGGGAGAAAGCTCAAAAACACGAAGCCTAAGAATTTACTTACAACAACCACAATGGATGCCCACAGAAGGGAACAAAGTCTGGCTGCTCATTTGGTGAAAAACAAAGACTGCTTCGGAAAAGTGCCAGCAGGGCACACGCTATTTACTCTAACAGCTCCCAGGGCTGGTCACTCACCCATGAGAAGGAACTGGCATGGAAATGGGGTTTAAGGGATTCTCCTCAGAGTTACAGGAAGGTAGAGAGAGAAAGGAGAAATTCCTATTTTCACCTCATGTAATCCTTTATCAAGGGAGAAAACACTACGCGGCAACACTTAGTCCAGGCTTGGGAGAGCAGCCAGGGTCCGTAGTCCAGGGAGCTTACAATCGAATGAGAAGACAGTAATGTTAGCTTGTGGGATGCACCTAAATACAGAAGTAAGGATTGAGAAAATAAAGTCAAGAATAGATAACTTTCTAGGATGAGACCCACAGAATGTGAACTTAGTCACCACAAATGAATGTCCCTGAGAGATGAAAAGTATGATTACAGGCTAAGAAGAAAGCTTAGGAAATCTAAAGGAAATAAATTCTCAAAGCATCTAGTATAAAAACTTTGCATGAAAAAGAACATGAGGAACTGTTCAAAGATGAGGCTGGAGAAGTAAGGAGCCCATCTAAGGCCTTATAAATCATGTTTGGAATTGGGCTTTTACCTTAAAAATATTACAGGGACTACATGGATGGGTTTTAAGTGAATAAGGAATATATACTGACCTGTACTTTATTTGTTTAAACTCTAGGGAATAAATTAATTTTAAAACAAGAATACCAGTAAAGCCTATCAAATGAACAGCTGTACAAAATAGGATTTAAAAAAATGAAATCAGTGCAGAAAAATTCTCAGTATGATACCCAACTATCAGGAATGGGAAGAATTACAATGTTTAGAAACAGCTAACATACTGCTTTAAAACAAAAAAACAGCTCCAGGGCTATAGCGTTGATCCCGACTCACGGTGACCCTGTGGGATAGAGAACCAGCTGCCCTACAGGGTTTCCAAGACTGGGAATCTCTGTGGAAGCAGCCGGCCTCATCCTTTTTCCACAGAATGGCTGGAGGATTCAGCCCACTGACCTCAGGTAGCAACCCAACACCTACCCTATCGCCACACCACAGCTCCTTCATGCAGCTGTGAACCCCAAACCAAGTCCAACTGCCACTGAGTCCACTCACACTCATGGCAGACCGACACAGGGTGGGCGGGCTGTCCATCTCTAAGGGGCGGATGGTCTCATCTTCTTCCCGGGGAGCAGCTCTGCACCGGACTTCACATCCTCATGCAATTATCATTCCCGTTCCTTTTCCAAATAAACCTTCCTGGGAAGGTTTTAACTCTATGATCTTAACTCTATCAGCCAGGTACCCACTCCAGCAGGGGTGTCAAACTGGCAGCCCACAGGCCACACGCAGCCCCCGAGGTAATTTTTTGTGGCTCATGATGCTCTGAAATAAAATGTAACGAGGGCATTGTGTGTACGGTGTTGCCTCAATCTCCCCCTAAGCGCTAATTTCTTCATAACAATTTTTTCTATTTTCATTTTATTTCAGACCATCGTGGGCCACAAAAAATTACCTCGGGGACCACATGTGGTCTGCAGGCCGCCAGTTTGATACCCCTGGGCTACAGGAACCACTTGACACGTGTGGCTATTTAAATTAATGAAAATAAAAAGAAATTTATGGTAGGCACATTTCAAGTAGCCAATAACCAACCACAGGTGGCCAGCGATGACTTTAACACAAAACACCAATGATAAAGAGTGCTCCCCCTACGGTAGGAAGGCCAACTGGACAACTCTGGGCGACTCAAAACTCAAACTCATTGCCATCGAGTGGATTCTGACTCATAGTGCCCCTGTTGGGCAAAGAAGAACTGCCTCTATGATGCTGTAAATCTTTCCGGAAGCAGAAAGCGTCATCTTTCTCCCATGGAGTGATTGGTGGATTAGAACTGCTGACCTTGTGATTAGCTGCCCAATGAATGGGTAACCCACTACACCACCAAGACCTCTATTCTGGCTATTCATGCTACTAAAATCTGCTACTTTAAGGGTTGATCTTAGGTAAAACACACATCTCTCCAGGACAGCAGACTTGGTCACTGTCTACCGCCACACCTTATATATTAATAAGCCTCATGGCAGTGAAGAATCATGTCGTATACACCTGAGACAGGCCTTATGCTCTGGCTCATTAATCCTCACAATACGCTGAAGAAATAGGAAAGCAGCAGGCATCAGCCGTGTTTTATAGGTGAGGACACCAAGGCACAGAAATTAACCTGCCTGAGGCTATAAAGGCAATAATGGAGCCACAAATAAAAGCTGTATTCCCTAACACTCTGACCAGTGCTCCATTCATTAACGAAGTCATGGCTGATTTAAGAACCCTGGGAATGGAGACAATTCGGTCTCACCTGGCCCAAGCAACCATTTGCTTTATCAAATGGCCTGCTACACCCACAGGAAATGTCATACCTATTAGGTCCAATATAAATAAATACAGAAAAATAGAAAACAAAAGAATATAAAGCCCCTGAATTTGCCCCAAGGAGCCGTGGTGATAGTTCCACTCCAAGGGAGAGGGCTGAAGCAATCTGCTTCTGTGGAGATTCATGGCCTATGAATCCCGCGAGGGCAGTTCTACTCTGTCTCACAGGCTCGCTATAGGGAACCAAACTTGAAGGTCATTGGTTTTTGGAAACTTTCCTCAACTACCTTCCAACAGACAATGGGAAACAAATGAGATTAGTCATATTTACCAAAACAGCAGCAGAGGGTGGTACTTGCTTGCACTAGTAATTTGTTTTTTTAATGATTATTACATGGCTATCTATAAACCATTACAACCTAGAAGATCTGCCCTTTTAATTCTTCTTTGCCTCTGCACCAGTGCAAGCCTAACTTTCATATGCTCTTTACAAACCTATAGAAGAAATGGAGGCACAAAGAGGCAATTCTTGTATTTTCATCTCAACTACCTCATTAGCTAGAAGGGGTGAAATAATATATAGGCAGAGATGAACCTAGATACAGATTAAAGATATAAAATCCACACATGGCATTGGCTTGTGACACTCTTGACAATAGCAATTTTAAAATGCAGCCACCAGCATTCACTAATGTGTTGCTGTGCCCTGACATTGCAAAACAATTTACCCAGAGCCTCATTTGAATGATGTGAAAAATCGAAGAAACAATTCTACTACACTAACCCAACATCTGAATTCCTACTTATTTCAGCTGCTACTCTACTACATAGGCAGAGAAAGCACAAAATAAATAGAACACACCAACAGTTTTAAAGTACCGAGACATATATAATTTTTTCTATACTTCAGATTATTTTCTTATTTATATGTATTCATCTATGGAATTTGTATGCTTCTATGGACCCAAAGTGAACCTTTCCAGAAATTCAAAGCTTCTAAAATTAACTGACAATTGCTTCTGAATTAAAATACCAACTCTTCCCAATTATGTGAAATCATAAAGAAAAAGGGCATGGATGGGGATTATAAACCCTGAGCATAATGGGCAGGCAGGGAGTGAGCAGGAGGGGAGGAGGACACACATCCACTACCTATAAGACAGAAAATTCCCCTTTGGGTCTCCAAGACTTTTAAATCTCCAGGGAAGCACACACCCTCATCATCCTCGAGGAGCAGCTGATAGGCTCAAACTGCTGACCTGGTGGTTAACAGCTCGACACGTAACCAACCCCACTATGACAACGGGGTTCCTCAATGGTCACCTCTAATTTAACTGTGGAAGAGCAGCGAAGCAATGAAGCCATCTGGGTATTCAAGTCTTTGCTGTACTATATATCCTGATTCAAGAAAACAAGCCAACTGGGGGAAAAATTGAAAATTAAGTTAAAATCGCTTACACAGCATTCCTAGAGGCTCCATAGGAGAGTAAGAGCTTGACGATGTCCAAGTGCCCATTCCTGGCAGCATCGTGGAGTGGAGAGTCATTCTGATAGCCAGTGGTGTTCACCAACGCCTTGTGCTGAAGCAGCAATTCCACCACCTTCAGGTGCCCATGATTGCAGGCTTCATGCTAATGAGGTGAAAAGCACAGAGCCGTGAAGATGAGCATGAATAACGCTACCATAAAACAAGGGATGTGAACTTCAGTCAACAAATGCATTCTTTTCCTAAATACTTGTTGGGACAAGGTAATAAGCCACAATTAGTAAATGTGGCCGTGATACATGGTGATCCATAGAAAAAGAAGAGGCCACCCATTTAAGTACGGGAATCGAGTGTTCCTATGTGTAGAATAAAATGTAACTTTAAACCCCACTGTAACCGCTACTGTTTTTCCTTTACAATAAAATGCAGGTTTAAGCCTAGAGATTCCTAAAATGTTCCATATTACACACACAAAAAAAAGCATTGACAAAGTACTTAACCTGATCTTCCCCAAAATATGACCCTGTCCAAGGCTAAATTCACTAAACCAGGCGCTGGTCACCAGCACACAGACATAACCGCATGCACTGAAGGTGCTGAACTAGAAAGAGCATGTGCAAGACAAGGCTCTCCATTTGCTGACCTATAGAGGGCAGTCTGGCTGAAGTCAATGACACCTGAATACAGGGTCAGGGTTCAAAGTTTGTTGAAAGAAAGACATAGTTGGTAACTTGATCGAGTATTCAAAGCAGTTTCTCATGGAAGTCTTTCCTTATGTCTTGTGACCTGCTAATAATGCCACGCTGCTGTCTTCTTTGAAACATGAGCTTTCTGAGTACATCTATTTCAATTCTTAATAGGTGGTCCTGCAGTAACATCTGTAAGTATTTCTAGGAGTAATACAAAGTAAGTTATAAGCTACAATTATTTTAAATTGGGCCTCAGTTCCCCTGCATCACCTACTAGCCCTTACTACAATTTGCCTTCGTATCTTTTAAATGTCTTAAAAGTAACCTATTTTTGAAAAGTTAACTAGCCTGTGGAGTCCAAATAACTAAGTGGCTCTGATCTAGACTAAACTTTACAGCTTAAGAATGGGGCAAGGAAGGATGTCATTGCATAACTTCAAACCTTTTATGCACCGGCCTAATGAGAGCCTCCTAATTTCTGTACTCAATGTCTAGCATACATGAGAAAGGCAACCATCCACCTCATCTGCTGACACTTCCGGGGCTGCATGCCAATCGCACACTTACTTAGCATCCTAGTGTCATTAGCTCCTGTAACATTTATTTCTACGTCTCTGAGCCATCCTTTTTCTTCCAGAGACTACTTCGCTCTGCGTTTCTAGTAATAATAAAGCCCAAAACGCACTGCCACTAAGTGCAATTCAACTCACTGCGTTCCTATCAGACAGAGTAAAACTGGCCCCGAGTTTCCAAGACAGTAACTCTTAAAGGGAGTGGAAATCCCCATCATTCTCCTGAGGAGCAGCTGGTAGTTTGGAACTGCTGACCCTGTAGTAGGTAGTCCCATATAAACCACTTTGCCACCAGGGCTCCTCCTCAGTAATAATATGCAAAAAGTTAAAAGGAAAATGTTTCAGGTAAGCTTTCTACTACCTCTGTCCATATTTGCAATTGGACAGGATCCAAGTGAGACAGGTAAGAGCCTCAATGAGAACTGCTCCCTTGTCTCAAAGTCCCACGACCTTTCTGTATGCAGACATCGGGTTGCAGTGCTACAGAACAGGCTTGATGCTGGTTGCTGCCGTTACCTCCAAGCAGGACCTAAAAGCAGCCATATAATAAAACTGCATTCCCAGTTTTGCGGGGAATCAGTCAATGAGGTCAATCAGTTTCTTGCCTGCCACAAGAAAAAAGGTAGATGGCAAACAATTATTTTCTGAGACTCGTGTGGCTGTGGCAGAGGAAGATGCCTGACAACTACCTAACTATGAACGGTAAAACGTAAATGCAAGGAGAACAAAAAATAAGCCAATAGGAAACTACCAATGGTGTCCATCCGGCATGGTCCTGAACATTCGGGTCACTTCCATGTTGTAAGAGATATTCCACAGAAGGTATGTCACCCTAGTAAAACAATGAAAGAAATTTTAAGACATCAAAAAATGAAGAGATTAAAGTTCTGTTTTGATTTTTGTTTTAATTTTCTGTTGTATTGGATAAAAGAAAACACATCTTATCTCATGGGTTTACCATAAGTTGGAATTGATTTCAGGGCCAACAAATTTTTGGAAGAATTCCATGGTGCTTATACACACATACTATATATATATATATATATTTCCCAGAAACCAAGCCTTGGAAGGCATATGATCTGTCCTTGAATATATAGTACGAAATCCCTGCCATTAGCACCCATATTCAAATTTCAAGGTATCAAAAAAATACTAATAATAAAATAAGGACACCATGTCAAAAGATCGTTTGCTCATAAAGTTTTTAAAGACATCATTTTATTTGTGGGGGGAAAAAATCACTTAGGGCATCCATGAAAATGGTTTCTGAGCATTGTCTAAAACTAAATTAAAGTCAAGAAGATTGATTGGTGACACCATTAAAATTGCCAGAAGCTATACTTACTGATGCTATTCTATTTTTCTTCATGTATTTGGTTTATACAAATTTAGTTTGTTCAAATGTATTTTCCAGGCAGAAGCAGTTGCTTTGTTTAAAAATGAAAGACAAGGAATTAACAGACACTTATTCAAAATGCCCTGTGGAATAAGCATATCTCTAATCCTGGTTCAAGACTAAAACCACCACCCTTAGTAAATGAAGATGATGTGCCGTTGGAAATCTTTACTACACACAAATGGCTTCAATTCCTGGGTTTTGTGTCTGATTTTTTTGCCTCAACGCTCCGAAGACACCAGGGTGATTAAAAAAAATATTTCTACAGGTTTCCAGTTCATACGTGCATGGGCTTCTTCTGAACAAACCTGATTTAAACATGTCTGCAGTCCATGGATGGCTGCAGACAAGCTATCTCAGTAATACATAATATGTCTTAGTCTTATAAGGCTGTCTTTTTTAAAAAGGGGGGCCATAGAATAGACACGGCTTTGTGGTCAGGACTAATATCAAATTTAACTACAGACAACATCTTTCCAAATCATAGCAGCTCTGCACCACGTTACATTATCGCTGTCCTCCACCCAAGACCAGTTTCAGATGGACCAAGAATGCTTGGTCCATCTAAGGAAGGGGGAGGAGGCTATGACGACAGTTATATTCCAAAAGAGTAGTGATTTTGTTTGTTTGTTTTTTAAGAATAAGTTACAGTCATAGGATGTGGTAGTTATATACCATATATACTTGTGTATAAGCCGAGTTTTTCAGCCCATTTTTTATGCAGTTTTTGTGGTAAAATTAAGTGCTTTGGCTGATATTTGCATTGGCTTATACTTGAGTATATACGGTAATCGATTGTCAATTTGAGGATTAAGAGTGTAGGGGTGGACTCTAGCCTGTCAGTCAGATGCTAGCCAGTGAGGCCTCTGTGTGGGCAAGGCCTGCTCCTGAGGATCCTGGGAACGCCTGGGTTTTCTTCCTTGGAGGCGGAGACTCTGCTCTCTCTTTCTCACTCCCTGGGAGACATTGCAGCTGACAAGTCGCATGGAACTACCCTGGTGCCCTGAACTGGAGAAGCCACAGGGACCTACCCGTTTGCCGCCCTGGGTGCTGGAGCAGCCAAGTGGAGACCGCTGCCAGCGCTGAGATGTTTACAATGCCACTGGACCCAGAAGCCTTCCACCCCACTGGACTGTGATCTTCCTGCACTCGGCATCATTGCATGTGTTTCTGAGTCAGAGAGAATTGTACAGACTGATATCGGGCATATGTGTTAATATCGGACTTAGGGACTTGATCTGGACTGGGCTGGGATGCTTCCTCAAAATTTAACTGCTCTTGTACATAAACCTCTTTCTTACAGAAATGCGTTTCTGTGGATTTGTTTCTCCAGTCTACCCGGACTGACACAGGGGAGCTTATTAGGAAGAGGTTTTTAAGAAAACGGAAAATTGCATTAGTGAGAAAAAAGCCATCAAAGTTGAAAGAAGGATATCCCCCCCGCCCCCAGCCCCACCCCGACCCCAGCACAGCCACCCCTCTACCTTTTCTTCAAGGGTAGCAAGGGCTCTCCTACAAACACATTCTTGGAAACCCTTTGCCACCCCACCCCACTGCCCTCATTTTTCACCTTCAGACTTCCTTTTATTCCCCAAACTCAAAGACACCTAACATGAACATGACCGAGGTCCACCAAGGATGCAGAATGTGCCATCTTACCACAGAATAAATCCAAGAATGCAGAATTGCGGGAGGGGGGTGGGGGGAATGTATAACCTAGGAGGATATGCTGAGAATCAAGAGCTTTACATTTTGATATCTTTGTTTTATACAAGTTTCTATGGGTTGGTAGTAATAACACTTTTTTACTTGCCTTCACATATATAATAAGTTTTTAACAGTGATATACTGCCATCACAAAGAGAAAGATGGGAGGGTGAGGGGGGCATGAACAACTATTACAAATCTATCTTAGAACTCATTCTTTTGAAGAAGTTGAACAGGATTTGGGGATTAAGTGAACCACAAGGCAAGGAAGACCCTATTAATTCTACTTTCATATTATCAAAACATTTTCAATTTGATTGTTAAAGTAAGGCATTAAAATAAAGACATTCCATTTGGAGTTTTCTCTATCTTGTTTGGCAATATCTACCTAAATCCTAACAGTGACTAGACTTAAAAAGCAAAGAGATAAATGAAAAACCATGCTTTGTAAGTCCTGCTACAAGCTCTTATGGTCTCCCAGGGAAGTGAGCCCATAAAGGAACTGGGACGATGAGCCTCAAGAAGCCTCTCACTTAACTTTTTGTTCCTTTCCCCATCTGTGAGAAAGCTATCGTGATGCAAAGAGCTGATACCTACATTCCATATTTGATGATATCTGAAACTTACATGGAGGAGCCCTGGTGGCACGGGCAGGCAAGCTCTTACATCCTTGGGACGCCCACCTAGGGTCAGTATGAGTGAGAATCAACTTTCGGTTAAGCACTCATCCACTCTTAAAGCCTTTTGAAAATTCTTTAAAGATAAAACTCAAATCACAAATGCGATCCAGTGGGTTCTAACTCGCAGTGACCCTATGGAACAGGGCAGAATTGCTCCTATGGGTTTCTGAGACTAACTCTTTACGAAAGTTAAAAACCTCCTCTTTCTCTCAAAGAGCAGGTTGGTGGTTGGTGGTCTGGAGCAGCCCAGCGTGGGTTCCGCATAACACCAAGGCTCCTCCTACAAAAGAAAAACAGAACAGAACTCACTGCCGCCCAGGCGATGCTGACTCACCACAGCTAACCTTTTAAAACAAAGCCATTCTTCAGGAAAAAATGACATTCATGCAGTTGGATGAGCATAAACCCCTTAAAAGTACACTTGTCTTCAGTGATCTGTTCGACACCTCGTGATCACACAGGCTGATATGTTGTTCCATGTGGGCTTTGTTGCTTCTGAGCTAGATGG